TGTTCTACACCCAGTTGCTAGTAGTTGCAACTGACTAGATAGCATCTGACAACAGCATTGGGTCCCTAACTTGGCCCAAGCTTTTCTGTGAAAGATCCTGGAGACTTGTTATTTTTTATTCTTCAAGAAAGTGTAACAAGGGGAGGAGGATGGGGTCCCATACAATAGGGACCCAAAAGGACACACATTGAAGTGACAGCATCACTTCTGACTCTGAGGATTGATTACCTTTCCTTTCCCAGTAGAACGATGACACCAGTAACCCGTTGCCAAGGAGTCTGTTTTGACACACGGGACCCTAAGGAGAACTGAGCGCCAAGGATTTTCCAGGGCGATTTGTCTGATGTAGAATTGGAGGCCTTTCTTCTGCAGCATCTCTGGGTTGACTAAGACCTCCTTGCTACCTTGGCTGAGCTGTCAAACACACACCATCTGCATACTCAGAAACCCCAAAACCACAGAGGCAGAAAAACCAGCTCACTGGAAAATAAAAGGGTAACCTTTAACAAACAAACAAAAAACCATGAAGTCAGTTCTGATTCATAGCAATTTTATGGACAGAGAGCACAGTTCCTTTGGATTTCTGAGGCTATAATCTTGTGAGCATAAAGTCTCATTTTTCTCCTGTGGAGCAGCTGGTGAGTTTGAACTGATGACCTTTTGGTTAGCAGCCCATTGCATAACCTCCAATACCACCAGGTGTTTTTTTCTCCCAATAGATTTTCTGTTTTTTTCTCCCAATAGATTTTCTGATATAAAATCATATCATATCATACACTTCCATAGTTAAGTTGCTTTTTAAAAGAGTTGAATACACATCATCACAATCACTTCTAGTGTGCACTCCCTCTCCTGCATTCATTACTTACTCCCCAGTTCTGCTCAAATGTCCACCCACCCTGCCATCCCCGAGAAACCACTTCACCAGTCATTGTCTCTATGCATCCAATCCAATTTCTCAAACTGGAAACAAGTCAAAAATAAAAATAAAAAACAAAACAAAACAGAACAAATGAAATAACAATAATAAAGATTGAAAAAAAAAAGATCACCAGCAATATTAAATTAAGCCGGAGAGAAAATTTCTGTCATGGAACAAGCAAGAAATCTTTAAAACCAGAGAAAATTTAGGTTGGGTCAAGAGGAAGGTCAGTTGGCCAGTCATCTTATTATAGCCCAGTTCCATCCACTATAATCAATTTTACAATCTGTCTGATAGCAAAGCATGTTGAGTCCCTTGGCTGTGGCTAGAAGGGATCTACTAGAGCAGTGGCTTTCAACCTGTGATTCGCGAGTCCTTTGGGGGTCAAATGACCCTTTCACAGGGGTCACCTGATTCATAGCAGTACTAAAATTACAGTTATGGAGTAGCAAAGAAAATAATTTTATGATTGGGGGGTCACCACAATATTAACTGTATTAAAGTGTCACAGCATTAGGAAGGTTGAGAACCACTGTGCTCGAGGCTCAAACTGAGCAGGAAGGCTGTAGATGGATTTTGGGCTCCCACTGTCTTCCATAGTCTCTAAGAAATTGGGTGTTTACAATTGTGGTAGTTATATAATCGGGTGTCAATTTGAGAGGATTATGGGTGAAGGGGTAGAGTCTGGACTGTCAATCAAGATATAACCAATGAGGCCTCTGTGTGGGCATGGCGTTCTACTGAGAATTCTGGGAACTCCTGTATTTTCCTCCTTGGAGGTGGGAGACACTTTTCTTCTCTGGGCTCACTCCCTGAGAGATGCTCTACTGACAAGACACATGGCACTACGCTGATAGACCCTGGGAACTGGAGGAGCCATGTGGAGATGCCTGCCAGTGCTGAGATGCACCTGCTACTACTGGATCCACAAGATTTTGCACCCACTGGCCTGTGATCTTCCTACATTCGGTGTCACTGTGTGTGTTTTGTTAGTTTGTAGAGGACTTTATAGATTTGTATCGGACATGTGGGTTAATATTGGACTTATGGACTTGATCTGATTGGGCTGGGATGTTGTCTCAATATTTAACTGTTCTTGTATACAAAGCTTTTTCTTATACACATACCAGTATCCTTCAATTTGTTTTTCTAGTCTACCTGGACTAACACAACAATTTAAGCTCTAATACCTTTCATTATATTTTGATTTTTTAAATTGTCATCTTTGGATCACACAGGCTGGTTTGCTTCATCGAGGTAGACTTAATTCACAACTCCCTTAGATGACTGCGTGTTTGAGTACACGCCTTTTAGAACCCAGACACTCTTCCAATTGCTAGCTGGGCACCATATGCTTTCTTCACCATATTTGGCTGTAGCACCCATATCTTCAATGATCACTTCAGGAAGGTAAGAATTGAGCAAGGCCATACTATAAGACCTGTTCTTGGATTGGGATAGAATTAAGTGGGAGCCCAGAATCCATCTGGTTGTTCACGACTTATGTATGAATCTGGTTTACTTTAGTGGTCCTATTACCATTTTATGACAATAAAGACATTATTATCCCCCCTAGGGCATAAGGCAATTCTATTGATAACATAAATAATTTATCCAATGGCATAGATTTTAAGGTACTGTTGTGAAAACAGGTTATGAGAGTACAGTCCAACTGAGAGCTGAAATCCATGAGTTGTTGCCTTGTACAGAATGAATTCTGACATGACTGAGCTTTTTACAATGAGCATGGGGATTGGTGTTAGGAGAAAATTTCCTGTAACATTCCTTACAAGGGCAGATCCTTGCCTATCAGAATAATGCACACCATATTAATGCAAGGCGCCATTGAGACTGAAAATATATGGGGGTTTGGGATCCCCTTTCGTTGGACACTGGCTAAAACAGGGCTCCTAATGAAGGTCCAATGAATGCCAACTCAGTCTTGGGTGGTTGTCATGTTTCCTCTTTCATCAGGGAATTTCATTCTTAAGTTCAAGGGCTACAGGTAGTTTTGAGGTAGGGTCTAGTTCAGTCAGTGGGTTTTCCACATCAAGTCCTTCTGGTGTGGTCTACGGGAGATGCCATGTTTCCTGTAAGCCCAGTGTTTAATTACAGTACTTTTTTGTTCATGGAACTTAAAGGTTCACTGAGGGTTGGGTACAAACTAATTAAAGTGTCTACCCAGGAACATCAAACTGGATTTATTCTCCCCTTGGGTTCCCTATAACTATTGTTGAGCTTCCCTTCCGGGTACGAGGTTGCTCCTCCCCATATATCCAACAACAAATATAAATGTCCCTCTGAAATGGAAATGCTCCCTTCCCCTGGTCTTAACTTGATTTTCCCTTAAGGTTGTCTTCCCTGTCCTGTGGAGTTGATTTGTTATAGTCTTGTCTCACCGTTGTACACCACCAGGGCCTTTTAATAACATAGCTAATTAAAAATCAAATAAAACACCACAGATCAAGGCCTCTTTCTCAATGATAAACAAAGAGCATCTAAACGTGGACTTCTGCTTTTATCACTATGTGATGTAGCCTACAGGATTTTCCCTTAGCCAAATGAAGGGAAGACTATCAAGAAAATTCTGATTTTGTACTGACAACCACTAAAACCAAACCCACTGTCCTTGAGTGGATTCCGTTACCCTCCAAAGGGCTTCTGAGGCTGTAGGGGAGCAAAAAGCCCCTCCTTTCTTCTTCAGAGCAGCTGGGGGTTTTGAAGTGCTGTCCTTGCAGTTAGCAAGCCAATACATAGCCCATTCCACACCCAGGGCTCTTTACTATCACATAAATGAACAGTTGCAGGAATGTGTCTCTAGAGCTCATGCTAATAGCCTTGTTTTCATTAGAATAAAAAGAAACAATAAGCCCCAGAGAGACTTACACTCCATATATTTGGCTCTCTTCTTCATTTGAGAAAATGACTTAATGTTAATAATCTAGTCCTTGTCTGCATTACTTTTACTTCAGATTTAGCGTGTCTTTAGTACAGTCCAGAAAGGGGTTGCTGTAAAGGTTAATGTTCCTTTGCATTCATTAATAAATTTGTTTGACCCGAGTGATTTTAGGGACAATTAATTTTCTTTGATCTATACAGTGTCTAATAACTTAAAACTTACGGCCACTGACTCATTGCAACCCTATAGAATTGCACCAGTGGGTTTCTTTTTTTTAAACATTAGGCGCTCATACAACTCTTATCACAATCCATACACACATCAATTGTGTAAAGCACATTTGTACTTCATTCTCAAAACATTTTTTCTCCACTTAAACCCCCGACATTAGGTCCTCATTTTTCCCCTCCCTACTCCCTGCCCCTCATGAGCTCTGATAGTTTATAAATTATTTTGTCATATCTTGCCCTGTCCGATGTTTCCCCTCACCCACTTTTCTGTTGTCCGTCCCCCAGGGAGGAGGTCACATATAGTCCCTTGTAATCGGTTCCCTCCGACCTACCCACTCTCCCTCCACCCTCCCTGTTTCGCCACTAACACCACTGTTCCTGTAGGGCTCATCCGCCCTGGATTCCCTGTATTTTAAGTTCCTATCTTTACCAGTGTACATTCTCTGGTCTAGCCAGACTTGCAAGGTCGAATTCTAGTCATGGTAGTGGGAGTGGGGAGGAAACATTTAGGAACTAGAGGAAAGTTGTATTTTTCATCTCATCGTTGTTACATCGCACCCTGACTAGCTCATCTCCTCCCTGAGACCCCTCTGCAAGGGGATCTCCAGTGGCCTACTAATGGGCTTTGGGTCTCCACTCTTCACTCCCCCCATCATTCACTATGGTAAGATTTTTTGTTCTGATGATGCCTTATACCTGATCCCTTCGACGACACCTCGTGGTTGCATAGGCTGGTGTGCTTCTTCCATGTGCACCAGTGGGTTTCTAAGGCTATAACTTGAGAGTAGAGTAACTCATGTTCCACCCACTAAGGTGGTGGTTTCAGATGAGGACTAACAATTCTCATCTGGCAGGGACATATCTGTGAATTTATAGAGAAGAATGAGATGCTTTCCTGTGTCTGCTATATTTTATATAAAGCAAACAACACATCGGAATCCCCCAAGTGTTCAAAGACTTAATTTATCAAAATAAATTTATTAAAAGTATTCAAAGACCAACATCAACATTTAGCTGCCGTCAAGACGGTTTTTGGCACTCATACCACACATGGCAGTTTTCTACACAACTGCACTCATTTTATTTCACAGACCACCTAACGGTTCAAACACAGACAGTTTTCAGTGTTCAATTAGACAATAGTACTGATGATGTGTAGCCATTAGAACTTCAGTACCCTTTCACACAGTAAACATGTTAACATTATATAGTACTAAAAACCTAAAACTAAGACCACTATGTGGTAACATGGATGGATTTAAGGAAAAACATAGAGCCAGTTACCTAAGGCCACATCCCAGATCTATTGATTTAAATGCTTCTGGACTGACAGCATTATGTCCTATGGTTCCTCTCACATTCTGGCTTCTCCAGAGTCCGAGACACCACACGCAGGCCATGGCTCCTTCCTTTCCTCTTTCCTATATGCACTGATGGGAGACATCCCAATATAAGCTTTTCTTAGACTCTTCCTGGCTTTCTGAGTTACTAACCAACTTTGAATCAATAGTTAAAGAGTGCTGTTTCCTGAACTCCCAGGCTGAATTCAAGGTCAGTCTTTTGATTTCTTGACCTGTCACAGCCTTTGTTAGGAAAAAAAAAAACGAAATGTCCATTTCTGGGGTCCTTTTTCATCTCATGTCGCATGGTGTTCTGTGGGGATCTGTGGCTTTTTACACAAGTCCTGGTAGAATTCGGACTCCAAGAAACGGGGATAAGAGTTGTTTTCCATCAAGCTGTAAACTCTTTTCTGTGCAGTTGTAAAGCAACCACTTG